AATGAAATGGATGTGACAGCCCACAACTCTTTTAGCTGAACTGGGCTGTTCTGTTACATACACTATGGAATGGCTATTTGCTGAAGCTTTTCAGAAACAGAAAATACACTGAATCGTGAACATTCTGATAGATACATTTCAAAGCGTTTGGACATCTGGAACACCTTTTGATACAATTGTCTATTAGATTCACTTATCTCCAGGAGTTCTGAAATGGACAAAATCGTTTCTGGGATTTGGGGCTTTATACAATTTGATCTGGGTGGATCTAGTGGAACAAAAAGAATGTCTCCCAAAAACCTGGAAACAATTTTGCTAACTTAGTGGTCATGGAAAAACTCATTCTTTTTAAATACAAGCTCACTCTTGGTTAGCAATCTGAAAAGTTTCGACGGCTGACATGACAGCCCTTTCAATCGTGAATTCATCCTCTGAACGGATACATATCAAGAGCTTACAGTGCACATGGCAATCCATCTAGGGCTGGGGACACAGCCCTAAAGAGGACAGACATGGTCCCTCCCAGGGAAACAGACAATAAACAGCTCTTCCAATTATCTGGTTACAGCTATGACAAATGACACGCAGGAGGAGCATCCAAGTAAATGTCTCAGGGCACCAGACCTAGCGTGTGAAGTCCGAGAGGGCTGCGTGGAAGTAGTGATGCTCGAGCTGGGATGAGGATAGAAAGGTTATCTAGTGACGAGCAAACCCTAAGTGTTGACAGACAGGCGGGGAGCAGGAGGAGAGAGTTGGAAAACCTGCAGGTTATCTAGTGAAGAGTAAGTTGGAAAGACTGTTCCAGGGAGAGAAAAGAGCAAGTACAAAGGCCCAGGGGCAGGACAGAGCTAAGGGGCATATTCAAGGAAGTGCCAGATACCAGGGAAGATGGGACAAGAGAATGAAGGGGAGAAGAATACAGGCAGGTGGAGGCCGGCAGGATACAGAGCCCACTGGATCTTATAGCCAATCAAGAGACACTGGAAGGCATAGCAGGGTTTAACAAGAAGAGTGACAGCAGATTTACATTTCTAAGAGATTATTCCAGGTGCTAGGTAAAGAACAAACTGAAGGAAGCAAGACGATATTTAGAGTCAACAGTTGTGGTCCAGGAGAGAGACGATGGTGATTGAGACTAAGGCTGGTTTTGTCCCCCATGGGACATCTGGCAGTGCCTGAGATATCTCTGATTGTCCTGACTTGGGGAGCACTACTGGCATCTAGAAGGCAGAGGCCAGGGATGCTGCTAAACATCCTACAATGCCCAGAACAGCCTGCTCCCCACACAAACACAACCAAGAATTACCCAACCCAAAATGGTAATAGTGCTGAGGTTGAGAAACCCTGGTTTGGACCAAGGCGATCACTTGATGGTGCTGGGGAGCAGTCAATAGATTCAAGAAGTGTTTAGGAGGTAAAATCAACAGGATTTAACAATAGATTGAATGTGGGGGTAAAAGAGCAGAAGGTATCAAGGATGAGTCTCAAGTTTCTCAACAATTCCAAGGAAAGTTATGCCCAGAACTTTCCCTTTTGCAGAAAGCCAAAGAAGTTTTTGCTCTGGAATGCTTTTGCTCTTAGAATCAGGTGGGTAAGTCAGTGTGGGAAACTGAGGCTGGGAGCAAAACTCTTTAACTTACTCAAGTGTAGCATCACCAAGTCTGCTGCAGCCCAGATGTGGCTTCAGGTTGGTTCAAGATGCCTTTTGAGGCCGTGGTTACCTATCACATAACTGCTAGGCAGTCTGGGTTTTAGAACTTTGCCCTGGTCTTTCTTAGAACGCTTAGGAAGGGATGTTTAGACAATGACTAGTAAAACCATAACTGTATGGAGGAAACCAGCACAAGTTTGTCTATGTCTGTCCTTGAGCCTAAACTCTTCGTCTAGCTGAGTAACTACTCAAAGTGTGATAGGTGGACCAGCATCATGTGGGGGCTTGTTAGAAATGCAAAATCTCAGGCACCACGCCAGCCCTAATGGACCAGAATCTCTAGGGGTAAGAGTCAGGAATCTGTGTTTTAACAGGCTTGCCAGGTGAATCGGATCATGTGAAGGTTTGAGAAGCCCTGACCAAGCTCACCTTTTACAACAGGAGCAACAATGCCTACCTAGGTACAGCTCTTACAAATCCTAAACGCTTGGCTGGTGTCAAAAATCTGAAACCTAAGATAATTTCAATAATGCCACATCATTTTGTGGAAGAAGGTCTAGGCCTTGAAGAGCTGGAATCAAAAATCTTCTGAGTGTTTATCTACTTCAGCTTGTAACAGAGATGTAAACGTTAGAACTCATAAAAAAAATTAAAGTGTTGTGCATGAGAGTTTCCAAGCGATATAAATCCTTCTGCCTTTTGCAAGGAAAAAAACAGCACCCAGCGGGAGTAGAGAGTCAGCCCAATGAAATAAACAAGTTCTTAAACAGCTCGCAGTGGGAGGGGGTTTTTCCGGCTGATGCAGGAACAGCAAAAGTTTTCTGCAAGGGCCACTGAGGGTTAACTTCGGGGCAAGAGAAGCAAGCTTCCCTAAGGCCTCAGCTGAAGCCAGCCAGGGTCTGAGGCCAGAAAAAGGAACTAGCACAGCTTTCAGGCCAGGCCATTCTTGGCTGTCCTCAGGCAAGCACTGAGGTACATACAAGTTCCAAGCAGGGCTCCAACTCCAGAAGGAAATTTTCTCTGTAAGCTCAAAAAGCAACATTTTGTCCCTAAGCTTAATACCCTTGATTATCCTCCCCGCTCACCCTACAGAGCTTTGAAAACATCCACAGTTTTGATTCAAGAATCATATTTTCGATTCTGAGAGAGTTTACCCAAACACTCCAGAAAGAAAACATAAAGGCAAGAAGAAATAATAAACTAGCTTAACAATGAATGATGTATAAACTCAGGGGAGTGAATGGCTTATTTATAAATAAGCGTCACTTAAAACTACGCAGGAAGTCCAGATGACAGCATAAACAGGAGGCACGTGGGATCTCCTCTGCCCCCAAACCCGACGCCTGCTTGAAGACCAAGCTGTGCCCTCTGTTTTGGTGACTCACAGGCTCACGCCAGCCTTTTGTACGCCTACATGCTGTCCGGTGAGCCGCGGAGCTGTAAATATTTGCCCTTCGCCCAGAGCCAGCCAGCTGCTGAGGCTGCAGCTGACAGACAGGCCAGGGGCCAGGATGGGGTGGGGGTGGGGGTGGGGAGGGGCGAGTCAGAAAACTTGCAGGCCTGGTGTGCACGTAGGGAAGGGGGGGTTGGGAGAGGGCGAGGAGAGGCAAAGCAGATGCAGGCCCCTGGGGGCCCCCAGGCAAATATGTTCTTCTCTGCTGCACCATATGGAACAGGCAACCACAGAGTAGCAGCAACATGGCCCATGCCCCTCCCCGGTTGTTGAAAATGTGGCCTTTGCAATCATGGAAACCCTGGTCCACAATAACCTATTTTGCCCCCGAGAGAACACTGGACAATATCTGGAGACATTTTTGGTTGTCACAACTTGGGGGAAGGAATGCTACTGGCATCTAGTGGGTAGAGGCCAGGGATGCTACTAAACATCCTACGAGGCACAGGACAGTCTCCACAACAAAGAATCACAGGGCCCAAAATGTCAATACGTCCCAAGGTTGAGAACTCTGAGGTAGAACCTGAATCCCCGCTCTGTCCCGAGTCACTGTTTGCCTTTGGACAAGTTCTCTGACCTCTCCCAGCCCTCCTCCTCATCTGAAAGGATTAAATAGATAATGCATATAGAGTGCTTGCCACAGTTGCCGGCACACAGTTAACACTCAATAAATGGTATCTGTGCTTACACTAAGAGGCAACACAATTAGTGGTTAAGAGCTTGGCCTGGAGAGATGGGCACATGTGGGTTCAGAATCCAGCTTGGGCTCCTCAGAGCTGTGATCCACATGTGACTGCCCTGACTGAGCCTGTTTCTTCATCAACAAAATGAGAAGTATCACACCTCCCTTACTGGATTCAAAAGGAAACCAGTGAGAAGCGCTTAGCCTAGAGCAAAATAAGCCTTCACTACTGGTGGCTGTTATAATTACACCCAGGACCAAGACCAGGGGGTGGCACAGGAGAAGATGTGAAAGATAATTGCAGGCAACACTTGTTGGGCATTTACTCTCTGCCAGGCAGAGTGCCAGGTCCTTTTTACGTAGCCTCTCTCTGAAGACTGGCAACAACCTATTTTACATTTAAGGAAACTGAGGCACCTGGAGGTTAAGCCACCAGGACACCCAGCTGGTTAGCAAAAAGCCCAGATTCTAAAACTGTTCTAACTCCAGAGAACTCACTCTCGATTATTACTCTATACTTGGTGGCGGTTCCTTTAATTCCTTCTGGAATCCCCAGATGAACAACTCAGAGGGTGCCTGACTGTGTTTTACCCCATGTGTTACATCTCTAGGGAGCAGTTTCCAATTATAGAGACGGTAAGCAGCTTGCTCAAGGTCAGTCAGCTAGTTGGCAGCAAAGCCCACATCTGAATCCAGCTTTTACTCCAGGGGCCTCTCTTCTAGTACATTTCTTAGTCTATTCCAGAGGTGGGTTCCTATTCTTTCTGGAATTCCTGAGGATGCATGGATATAGTTCACCCTGAGTGTCAAGAGCTCATCCTGTATGCCACGTGTATAGGGACCATGTTTTCCCACCTTAGGAGAGATTACGCGACTTCCCCCTAGATCACCTAGCTGGTCTGAGCAGCCAAGCCTTTGAACACAGTTGTGATCCTGAAGCCGCACTCTTCATTCTTACTTTAGGCTGCTTGTGGGCTCCCTTCAGTCTTTCCAGAACCCCCGAAACTATATCTCACCCTGTGCATCTAATCTGTAGGAACCACCGTTTCCAAACTTAGACCGATTCAGCGATCTGCTCGTGGCGAGCAGTGGAAGAAGAGGGAGACAGGGATGCTGCTGAGAAACTCCTGGCATCCCAGTGCCCAAGGGAACGGGAGGCGCCCTGGGTACCCAGGGGCCCTGGCAGGGGGTCGGAGCGGGCGGCAGGCGCCTACCTTGCCGCCTGGCGGCGCGGCCACGCAGCGGCTGAGCGAGTCGAGGCGCGCGCTGTACTCGGTGAACTTCTTTTGGTAGCGAAGAGCGGTCATCTGCAGCTCCAGCTGCGCGGCGGCCAACTGCGCCACGAGCGACTTCTCGCGCTTGCCGGCGCGCAGCGCCTCCTTCTTGAGCGCCTTGTGCAGCGCGCTCAAGCGGGCCTGCAGCGCGCTGTTGTGCGCCCGCAGGGCCCGCGCGCAGCAGTGGCCGCCCGCGCGCTGCTCGCCGTGCGTCAGCGGCAGCCCGCAGCCCTCCTGGCAGTGGCCCACGGGCCGCGCGTCGCACGCGTCGCGCATGTGCGCCTCCACGTCGCGCCGCAACAGCACCTGGCCGCAGCCCGCGTGGCGGCAGCGCGCGGGCGCGAAGTCGCAGCGCTCGAGGTGCTCTGGCAGCTGTTGCAGCTTGACCACCCGGCCGCAGCCGCGCGCCGCGTACGCGCACTTGATGTCCAGCTTGAGGATGAGGCGCTTGAGCGGCAGGACGTGGTTAAGTTCCTTGGCCGACAGGCGACCGCGGCAGCGCGCCGGGCAGCTGCCCTCCTGCACCACCCAGGGCAGCACGCAGCCGGCGCAGAAGACGTGGCCGCACGGCGTGGTCAGCGGGTCCTCCAGGACCTTGTGGCACAGCGCGCACTTCAGGTCCGGGTCCACGTCGCCGTCGAAGCGGTCCAGCTCGAAGCCCATGGTGGCGGCCGGAGCCCGGGGTCGCCGCCGGGCGGCCGGCCGCCCCCTCCCTCCCTGCGAGGCAGCCCGGATAGGCTGGCTGCGCCGCCCGCTCACTCGCTCGCTCTCCCCGGACTGAACCTAATTGCTCCAGACTTCCTCGGAAAATGCCCGAGGAACAGGACTCCTCCAGCCGTACTTGCGCGAGCGCCTGCGCACACACATCCTGCCTCGGCTGCCTCCCGCCCGCCCCCTGCAAAAGGGAGGAGGCCGGGAGGCAGAGGAGGGTGGGGAGACCCAGAGGCTCGCCGAGCGGACTGGCCCGCCCGGGACGCCAGCCTGAGCGCTTCTCTCCGGGGCCTGCTTTCTGCTCTCTTGCAGTTTTCGCTACTGGAGACGAAACGCCAGCCGAGAAAAGCTCACTGAGTTTGGAGCTGAGGCTGCTGCTCTCGCCCAGACGACTTCCCCTGGAGCCCCTTCCGGGACAGATCGCGACTTTTTACTCCCCTCCCCCACTCCCTCTTTCGTGGCTGATTGCGGAGGGCGAAAAATATGTTGGGGCCCGCTATCTCAGCACTTACGGTCGTTATTTATTTATTTCGTTCCAGAGAAAGTTACAGAGCCTGCGGGACGCTCCTGCAACTACAGTTCTGACCGGAGGTTCTGCGACCCCCGAGTTTGGCACGCCGAGGTTTCCAGGACCGGAGGGCGAATCTACCGGGGCGCATTTGCGGGGACGAGAGCTGCTCGCCAGCTGTCGTGGTGGGAGAGGCTGGCCTGTAGGCTCGGTCCACTTCACCTAACACCTCCGAAGTGTCTGCCCTGCAGTGGGCAGGCGTTGTGCTGGGTGCTTCTAAATCGGTCCCTTTAAAAATCATCAGTACAATGTTGTGAGAGTTAGCTCCATTTAAAAATTACTTTCCCCCATTACAAAAGGAGTACCGCTGGTCGTACAGTGTTAAAAACTGCACAAGTATAGAGCTTGTGGAGAAGTTCCCCATGATCCTCCACAATCATGTGAACCGCTTTCCTTCAGTTTTGTTTCGTTTTTTTTTTTTTTCCCCTATGTGTATACTTTGTTATGTTTCCATTTTGCAATTGGGGAAACTCAGCCTGGGAGAAGGCAAAAAGCACTGTCCTGTAGGCTCCTGTAGAGCAGTGTTTCTTAAATTTTAACGTGGATGCGGATTTTGATCCAGTGGGTCTGGGGCGGGGCCTGAGAATCTGCATGTTGAAAGAGCTTCCCAGTGATGCTGATGCTGCTGGTCGGTCGGTGGATTTCCACTTGATTGGAAGGTGGCCACCCACACATCTGGACTTTTTTTTTCTCCTCTGGGGTAGCTTTTCAAGCAGTATAGTGAGCCTGACTGGGTAGTTTTCAGCAACATTCCTGAGTGTTGAAAGAATTCTTTGGGATTCCAACCTATGTGATAAATTCATGGATTTTTTTTTCTTTTTTTTTTGTGCTGTGGCTGTAGACTTTGCTAAGAAACATGCCGTCAGCGTTGGTAAGAAAGAAATCAAGCTATGGAATTCTCATTTGGACCCGGCTGCCAGTTTCTGAATAGTGAAATGGAAAAGTTGGATCTGTGTGTGTAGTGTGGCTCTGGGGCCTGGAAAGTGGGATTACAGCATCCATTTTGTCTAATTGCTTTTACTTCTCTCCTTTATGTAGCTGCTAACACCTGGTGACCTTCACTATTTAACTGCTTCATTGGAGTGAAAAGATTGCCTTGATGTCCATAAGGATTACTTGTTTTGAACTGACCTTTTAAAAGGTTGTCACTGATGAGATTTTTCAGTGCATTGTTGAGGTCACTGGACAGTGTTCTTTAGTCAGTGTTGGTGGCATTTGTTGTCTATTTGTGGTAGAGAATTTCTTTTAATTGCTTTAATCAATTAATGCATTTCTTTGATAATATGTGGGGTGGAATATAATTGGCCTCTGTTCAGGTAAGCATGTGCCAGGAACCCTCCATCAGTATATTTATTAAGCTGCTCACAGGTTCTCAGATAATGGGTAAGAAACAAATTCTTTCAACAAAGGTGTGTGGGCTTGTCAGTTTCACAGGGTGGGCTAATGTCAACAGGGTGATAATCTTCAAACCAAACTGGTTTTGAAAAACAGGGAAGGCTGGTCATACACCATTAGTGGGAAATTAGTGCTTACTTTGGGTGTATGCTTCTCTTAAGAGCTGTCCCACCCCCATCCCACTCTCCCACCCCCACAGCAGCCTGAGAGGTTGTTGATGAAGTGCTAGAGCTGAGGCCAGGGAGAAGCTAGAGCCTCCTGTGGATCGGCCTCTCTAGGCAAAGGAAAGTCTGTCTGAGCCACTCCTCGTTGGCTAATTTTAGTGTGGAAATTCTTGAAGGTCAGGAAAAAAAGCCCTCCTAGAATGTCAGAGTGGTCACACTATGCATATTATTTAGTGTCTATTTTAATAGACAGGGGAACTGAGAACCAGAAAGGTTAAAAAAAAAAAAAAAGTTCGGAGCAAGGTTTCTCAACCTTGGCATTACTGATGTTATCAGCCGAATAATTCTTTGTTGTGGGGCTTGTCCTGTGTGTTGTAGGATGTTTAGCAGCCTTTCTGGTTACTACCCACTACATGCCAGTGGCAACCTCTACCTCCTAGCTGTGACAACCAGACTTTGCCCATGTCCCCTGGGGGGAAAATTGCCCTAAATTGAGAACTCCTGGTTTAGGGCAACCTTTGGTTCATTGCTCAAGTCGGGCAGTGCTAGCAGCCCGCATCCTCTGCTGGCTGTGGAACCTGAGTGAATGCAGCACAATGAGAGTGGGTGTTACAGTGAGGAGTTGAGGCACCACGCTAAGAAACATGAATACAAACCGTAGGAAGGTGACTGTTGGGTATGGCAGACCGTCTGAGAAAAGTAGCTGGTGTTTCTGACATGAATTAGATACTTACTCAACTGTCTCAGAGCAAACTACTCATTTGTTAAGGTGGTACTCGGTGCCAAGCATTGTGCTCACCACTTGACCTTCATTATTGCATTAATCTTCACAGCACATCAAGAGGTAGATGTGTTGTTATCCCCATTTTACTGTTTTCAGAGATTATGTAAGTTATCAAAAATGGCAGTCAAGAATGTAGACAGAGGATTCCAGAACCCTCACTCTTCACTTCTGTGAGCGTTATGCTGCCTCCTCCAAACCCCTAATGCAGGAGGGGTCCCCTAGGCTTCCCCTAGGCTTTAGGTAATTTGTGGGTGCAGTACTAGAGAATGCAAAAAAGTCAAGGTTTTTTCCCTTTTTTGGTGGCTTCCCAGGCTTAAATATTTGTACTCCACTGGCTGAAATAGCACCGTACAATTAGATTAATAAGCATTTTTTTTTAACCAAATGGAAGTACCACCAGAGAGTAGTAAGGCATATCAGTCACCCACAAACAAGTGTGAAACATCTCAGTCAGATTGTCTGCCTCCTAACACAGCCAGTGTCAGCCGTTCTGGGGGCTTGGGAGATTCATTTGGCTTTGCCTAGGGAGAAGAATAGGTAAGTTTTGATCCTGGAGACTTTGGAAGACTTGGGTGAGTCAGGATGGGCTGTCACAGTGAGGACATTGGACAGAGAACAGCAAGAGTTGGGAAAGTGCTTCTTACAAACTTGTGCCAAAGTCTGGTGCTACACATCGGTGAGGCCTCCTTCCCTGTCCTTCCTGATGGGAGTGGCTTCCACAGCACCATGTATGTTCCCTTGTGTGACATTCATTGTACTTGAAATGTCTTAATTTAGTCAATAATTTTTTATTTAGTAGCTACTATAAGCTAGGAAGGTGCTGTTCTGGCACTGGGCCTACAGGGGTGAACAGGTGGGCAATGCTGACTTAGTGAGCCCTCGTTCCAGGGTGAGGAGAGGCAAGTATCAATAAACAGAGGCCATAGTGAGATAGTAATGGGATAAGTTCTCCAAAGCTGTGCTACTCAAAGTGTGACCAGAGGCACAGGCATAACCTGGGAGCTTGTTGGAAATGCACAATCTCAGGCTTTACCCTGGACCTCTCAAGTTAGAATCCATATTCTCACAATCCCTGAGCGATTTGTGTGCACTTAAAGTTTGAGAAGCACTGCTGTAAAGACTATGAAACCAGCAGATGTGCTGGAGAGCAGTTAGAGGAGCCCATTCCAAATAGGGAAGTCTGATGAGAGGAATTATGAGTTGTTGCTTAAAAGGTGAGAATAAGCCAGCAATAGTCGGCAGGAGAACATTCCAGGCAGAAGCAACAGAAAGTGCTGTGGTCCAGAGGGAGTCAAGCGCTAGGTTTACTTAAGTCAGACTGAGCATGCCTAGAACTTGAAACAGGGTGAGAAAGGGGGAGAATAGAATCGAATAAGGGTAGAGGAGTAGGCAGGATCCAGACATCCAGGGGCTTGCAGGGCATACATAGTAAGGAGTTTGAACTGATTCAAGAGTGGCAGATGGCACTGAAGGGTTTTGGGCAGCCGAGGCACATAGCTTGATCAAGGTCTAGTTCTCCCCCACCGTCTATTCCAGACTAGGGGCATCGTGTCCACATTACATCTCACATGTTTAACACTTAGTAGAGACTTAATACCTGTTCAGCAAATAACTGCTCCCTCTCCCTGCTGCATGTAAGTTCCTGCTTCTAGAATGCTAAGCATAGGTTGATGCTACCAGCATTAGGTATCTGTATCCCAGTATGGGTTAAATAGGCTTCTGTGGCCTATCTAGAGTACATGTCATCATTTAGAACATTGTTCTAATATCAAAACCTATTCTGATAAAATCTATTCTGAATTCTGAGCAACCAACTCCCATAGGAACAGCTAGATTGCTATCTGGTTGTGAATTGGCAGGCCTTGTACAGAAAAAGTATGCGTATGTATGTGTATGACAAGTATGATTCTAAAGACTCATGACATGGCAGACATTTGGAGCTGGAAGAGAACTTCTGTTTTATTCCACAAATACTTACTAAACCATTATCATCTAGAGAACATAGAAGATAAGAATATGAAAAAGGACACAGGACCTATCTCTTACCTTTAGAGAGCTTACAGGGTCCCAAGGTTGCCAATTGGATGAAATCACAAATAGTCTTAATACAAAAACAAATGTGTTGAGTATCTTATCCGGTCCAGATGAC